CCAGGAGCCTTTTCTTGAATCTTACTTGATGGTGATTCCAACTCCTTTACAGAACCATCAGCCTCTTCCTTGTCAATGTCCTTCAAGGATACATCTTCATCCTCGCGATGGAAGTCGTACTGGTTCAAGTCTATGCCTTCACATTCCATTGCTTCACGCAGTCTCGATTGCAGCTCTGCCTTATTTCCAGTTGTTGACAATCCTCGCTTTGCCAACTCCCTCTTGAGAGGAGGTATCGTTAAATCCTGAATCTTTACCATTCTGCAATTATCCTTTGGGATTTATTTAACAATCCCACTTCTGACACCAATTGTTACGATTTTACTAAATCAACCTCGATTATTTTCTGAATCCTTCGGGTACGATCTCTGGATTGTTAAATAAAACTCGCCAACTTAATTTGCGAGTTACTTAAATGTAATCCCAACGCGTTCACTTTACGTCTTCACTGATGTTAACGCCAACCAGTTCGCTTTGTCACTAACTTGACTTGCAAATTTGTTAAATTATTGTATTGTCACTGGTTTTTGACAAATTTGACTTGAATTAGACCGTTTAAAATGATTCAAAGTCGAGTCCGAAGGAGTCACACACACACAAGTGAAGCTAATAAAAGCGTGTTAAAATTATGGAGTCGAAGAGTAAAGTAGCAAAAGGCAATGCTCGTATTTAAATATGCATATATACAGCCATGGTCACGCAAATAGCGCAAAGTGTATCATACGAGAAAATGTAACTCCTCTGAGGAAAAAAACGGTATTTTTCTAAATAAAAAAATTTATAATAGTTACATATGTTATCTAGTTTACAGTGCGTTTCGTACATTCCCGTTATCTTAGCAACCGTATTTTTATCGTCGGTTTATCTGATCGAGCTATTAGTTTGTGGTGGTCACGCACGAGTTGCGGTAAGCACTGTACTCCTTAAAAAAGAAGCATTATTTGTAACATGGCTAAGACAGGGAAAAGTTTTTCAGAAATTGCAGTTTTCTCAAATTATTTCCGCGCAAGGCCATTTTTGAAGACAGAGCCAAACTACGAAAAAAGAAGCTAGATCCTTTTAAATTGTCTAGGCAAAAAATACTGAAAATAAACGAAGAATTTGATTTGACTATATCAAGAAGCCATGTCGGAAGGCGTATAAATAAGGTCCAGCTCTTTGGACGCATTACCCGCAAAAAACCACTCCAGTCAAAGCGGCATATAGAAAAACAGTCAAAGTTTGCTAAGACGCCTGAGAATCGGTTAGATTTTGGAAAAATGTGTTATGGATCGATGAAACTAAAATAAATAGAATGAAGCCAGATGGGAAACCACATTTCATCGTTAAAGAGGTCAAGATTTGAATCCTAGGTACACCAAAAAGACCCTAAAACATGCAAGCGGTAATATCATGATTTTGGTGGCATTTTCCTGGCATGGCGTAGGACCAATTGTGCGGATAAATGGAAAAATGGACAAATATCAATATCTGGACATCTTAAAGAATGAAATGGAACCATTCGTATTTGATTCCATGGCACCAAATTGGAATTTTATGCAGAATAATGATCCTAAACATACCGCGAAAGTCACATAAGATTGGCTTAGGAAAGAAAATATTCGTGTTTTGGATTAACCTGCGCAAGTCCAAGACCTAAACCCAATAGAAAATTTATGAAACGATGTTAAAACAAAAATATCTGC